TCACAGACTTTGATACCAGAGGCAGCTATACCACTAACCCACTTTCTTAGAGTTCGCTTTGTGTGTTGGCTTCTGCAGCTGCAACGTAAGGGGTTAAACAAGAATGGGTTTTAGATGCCTGCTTTCAGTGCTAGAAGGTACCTGGTGGAATCATTGCCATTCCTTCATTGTTAAAAAAATAATGTCTGTTGTCGTTCCATCATAGTTGTCCCGGTTTCCCCCTCCCTCCTTGCCCTCCTCTGCCCAGCCCCTCGGTCCCACGGTCAATCCTCAGACTGTTGTTCTGGTCCGTGTGTCATTCATACGTGGTTTTAGACGAGCCCCTCCCCCTCCCCTCTGGGCGCTGCCAGCCTGGTCCATGTTTCCAAGCCTCTGGTTCTGTTTTGCTCTTTAGTTTCTTTTGTTCATTAGACTCCTCTTACAGGCGAGATCACAGGGTATTTGTCTCTCCCCGACGGGCAGGTGCCTGCTGGCTTGTCCCGGGGTCGGCAGAGTGGGTGGGGACACAGCTCAGGTCTTCCGGCGCCCTGGCCAGTGTACTTGCTCCCGACCACCACGCTCCACGACTATTTTGATCTAAAATGTATGAATTTACGATCATCCAACGGAGAGTTTATACTATGAGCATTATGACTAGAATCTTTAAATGTGTCGTGTTTTTAGGTTGTTCAAAGCTGGCAATTAGCTCACCAGCTCTGAGTGCTCTTTGAACAGGAAAAGGTTGTTTTGGTTCATCCTGTGAGAATAAATTTAAACCCTCATCTATCTTTCCCCGAGTCCCTATCTGCCTGTTCCGAGACTCAATCCTGTGGCTAAAAGCACGGCCAAAAATAGCCACACAGAAAAATAGATACATGAAGTGGTAACTAGGGGGTAAGCATAGGATGGTAGAGCAGCCTGTTCTGTTTATTAGATTCAGGCCTTAAAATAGGAACAGGGATAGTCTTGTGGACACAGTCTCATTTTGAATTAAAATACTTTATATTATTGCAAACACCAGCTGGCCTTGGGGCGAATGTTAATTCAGCTTTGCAGCAAGAAGTCGCTTTGCAGATGACACAGTGTGTCAGCACATTTGCCAACAGCTAAGCCCTCAAGCGAGTCCGAACTTGCAGGCAGCAGCAGCGGAGGCTTCCTTGGATGGAGGCTGGTGGGGGGGGGGCCCGAGGGGGGCAGGGATGCTCTGTTCCCGGTGGTTTTCTCTCTGCTGTAGCTGCTGTTGGGCACATTCAGTGTTACTGGCAGCACGAACCAGCCCTCCAGCATAGAAAATTGGGGCGGGGATGTGAGACTCGGGTAGCCTGCTGAGAAACTGCCTGATCGTGCAGAAATTCTCCTGGAGTTCGACCCGAGGTCAGGGGGCGGAGCTTGCGTTTCTACTTGCTGCTTCACCGCTCACTCGCTCACTGGGGCGTTTCTAGCAGCGTTCCTGGACCCGTTTATGCAAGGGGCGAGGAAGGAGGGTTGCTCCACTCCCCACAGACTGATGCAACCCGAGCGTGAATTTTCCTCCAGCCCACTCTCTAGCGGGAAGGGTTAGTGTAGCTGACTATCACCCCAGGTACCAGAAGATTCCTGGAGGAAATGGACTTCTCTTCAGTGCGCGACGTCCCAGGATGCTGTGGGGACCTGCCCCAGAGTCAGGCGCAGTCCCCTTTTCCTGGGCCGGGCCTGTGGCGGTCTCAGCTTCGCCTGCCCTGACAGACCCCGTAGGAACTGCGCACCTGCGCTGCCGCCGGCAGGAAGCTGCCCCAGACATTGAGTGTGTCTGCGTCCCGCACTGGCTTACGGAGAGAGGGCCGCGCGAGTCGGCCCTGTGCCAGAGCACACCTGCCGTAGGTGCAGGAAGGTGTGTGTTGTCTCCGGGCTGTCCAGATAAAAGTTATTTACCCACTGATCCACAATGTGGCCTCCACCTCCTCAGTATCTTTTCTGCCATCTCCAGCACGGCTTTCTGGGACCCACTCGTCTAATGCACGTTCCACCCGTCTGTTCTCCACCTCATCACGCTGTGTGTTGCCTTCATAGCTCAGGTTACAGCCTGAAACGGCCTCATTTCTCTGTTTACTTGTTTACTGTTTGTCGCTCGCACTGCAATGTCAACTCAGGGCCAGGGACTTTGTCTCTCTCCTTCCCTCTGGGCAGTGGTGCCGGGCACCACACAGGCGCCCAGAGGGTACTTGCTGCCCGGGAAGAGACCCTGACCGCCTCCCTGCCTCCGAGTCCCCACGTTCTCCGTTCCGTCTCTCCCGGGGAACCTGGAATCGTTTAGTCCGTCGAGGCCAGCAGGAAGAGGGTGGTGTGCTTGTAGCAGGAGAAAGGCAGGCTTAACAGAGGTGCTGTTCACAAGGTGACAGAGACTCTTCGAGGCCATCACAAGATCTCTGACATCATTATGTTCTTGAGACACAAGTCAGATGATTCTTAAAACCTCTCCTTGGATGGCTTCCCGTTGCCTGCAAAGCCCAGCCCACAGCACTAATGGGGCGCCTCGTCTCCCCTCCACGCCGCTCAGCACGGCCTCCCCTCGGTGACCCGCACGCCCTCCCCGAGCCGCGCTCCGGTCCGCGCTCCGTCCGCACTGTGCGTTTCATTCTCTCGCGCCGCGCACGCCTGGAGGCGGCTCTCCCTCGCGGCCCTCAAACTCAGGGTACAGCCCTGTCCCCCTGTGATGGTGACAAGGCACATTCTTCCGTGGCTCCTTCTTTTCTCCTCCCGCTGTGCTTGTTTCAGAAGCGTCACACTCGTCATTCGTGCAGCTCCTGCCGTATTTGTGGATCGTGAGAGGCGCCGCGACTCTGTCCTTTAATTCTCATAGGAGTCTAGGAGTGTGGCCACTCGAGTTCCTTATTACAAATAAAGAATCCGAGGGTCAGAGAAACCTAAGTGTGACCGCCTGGCCCTCGGAGGAGCCCAGCACGACTGATGCCGATGGGGCGAGCCTCCTGCGGTAGCGCCGTGCGACGTGCGGACCGCTTCCCGGGAAGGGTTCTTGCCCCGCTGTCTCGCCTCAGTCTGATCACGGCTTCAGCTCCCACAGCCCGTCGGCAGGGACTTGGGGAGTACAGGGCCACGGGGAAGTACGGCAGGGAGAGACAGACAAAAGCACGAAACGGGGCCCCTTCCAAGACGAGTGGTCCGAGGGTCTGGTTCTGGCCACCGGTCAGTTTTGTGGGAAAGGAAGGGAGATGGAGACGCAGCAGATGAATCAACCGCGAAACACAGCGTGCAGTCCTCGGTGGGATCCTTGCTTGTCCAGAGCCTCGGAGCGTGTAGCAGCAGGGTCGTGATGCAGGCTTGTCTTCGCCCGTCCGAGGGTGTAGGGTGCACCTGTGCCCGGCCCACATCCTCGCGGAACTTGGAGCTCGCCGTTCCAGCCTCGTCCAGCCCTCTGGGCCCAAGGCTTCTGCCTTCGAGCACCTGAGACTCCGCCTGGGGGCAGGAAAGGCAGTGCTTGTGGGAATGGCCCGCAGCCAACTAAGGAGAGAGTTTGGAGAGTAAACGTCTGGGCTTCCTCTTTTGGATGAAACACTCGAAGGAGCGGTCTCCACTGTTCCACAGAGGTGCCGGTGGAGTTCATTTCCACGTACTGCATCCGTCTTCTCAGGAGTGCTCCCTGGATGCGCTTCCTCCTCGCCCGGCTGCCCTCTGCCCTGGGGTGCTTCCTGGGACCACTTTCCAAATACACCGCTGGCTCTCACCATCCTCCCTCAGGGCCTGCTTCTGGGGGAGCCCCGCTCAGCGCAGGCGTCAGGACTCCCGCCCTTACTGCTGGGCGCCGGCGCCGCCTTCCCCACTCCGCCCTGCCGCACAGCTGGTTGGGGGGCCGCGGTGAAGCTCAGGGCCTGGGGCTGGGCCCGGCAGACACGCAGACCCGGAGCCTGCCCCGGCCTCTCCACTTGCTGATTACCCGACCTCAGGCAGCCGAACCTCTGTGAGCTCAACGTTCTTATCGGCAAGGGAGGCTAGCAACAGAGACGGTCCTGTACACGCTGTCGCCTCCTGAGTGTCTTGTAGGTCCAGTGGCTCTTGCTCCACTTGGTAGTGTTTCTGGCACTAGATTTGTTTCTGAGTGCCATGGAGGTTCCTAAAGCTCAGCAGCAGTAGTAGTAACTCAGCACAAGACACCAGAGATGGTTTGCGCAAAGTCCGTTTGAGCTTTTGCACGAACAGATGTGGAACAGCCCCTGGGAACGTGACGCACTGGTGAGCGAGGAGTCGCTGAGCCTCCCGGGCCGGGGGGGGGGGGGGTGTGCGGGGGGCACGGAGTGGTGGGAAGGACGGCCCCGCAACTGGCCGAAGGGGCGCCCACTGCGCGCGGGCCTGTGCGGTTCCGTGTCCTGCTCTCGGTTTTAGGCTCCTGGGTGGCAGAAGCTGTGTTTTCTTCATCTCAGGTGTTTCCTGTGGTCGCTTGTCTCAGCACAGTAGACAGACTTCACACGCTGCGGCTTTCTTTTCACAGAGTGTTTGCGACCGTCACAGTGCGTCACGCAAGTAGCCGGCACACGCCCCGAGAGCCCCCTTCTCCGTGCGGTCTCGTTGGTTCTCTCGGCTTCGTTCGGCGCTGGCGAGTGTGTGGTCCGGCCCGGTGGGGCTTTAACTTTCTGTGTGGTGTTGTGATGCCTTGTGTAAATATTTGATAAGCACGTGTTTTCATAAGAAAAGCCAGTGGCATATAATCATGTTAATAAAAGGGCCGCAGAGTAGCACCAGGTGTCGAGAATTAGGATCCCAGTACATGCGGGGAGTCCGGTAATAACGTCCCTGATTGAAGATCATTTGCTGTGTTTTGTCAGTTTTACCTAATGAGTCTGTGAGGTGTCTTTTGTTTGTTTTTTAGTATTATGGTAGCAATGTAAAAAAAGTAATATTATATGAAGCTGATAACATAGGTCCCCAACAGACACACACACACACACACACACACACACACACACACATTTTTGTTAAAATGGGATACAGAAAGTTCTCATCAGAACAGAGTGACATGTTTATCAAACTTTGTGGTTATCAAAGCTTTAATGTTATTATGTGTTCTTAGCAGAGCTATTTTTTCCTCAGACAGAGAAAAAGAAAGGAGAATGAAAAAGAAAAGACTGTTTTTCTTCAAAGCCAGTAGCCATTGCATGATTTTTTCCCAATCCATGTGAGTTATAGTAGTACAGAATTTCATTATTTCCTTTAATAATTGCCATTTGTATTTTGAAATGCCTTCCAATTAGTGGGGTCAGTGAATCAGCTTAATAAAACATGCTGAGGTCCATCTTTTTCTACTTATAGCTCCTAGATGAAAAATAACCACAAAAATACGGAAGTTGATTTTTAAAAATCACATGCTTGAATTAAGGGAATCGTTAATTATTGATTCAGATATACTTGCAAAAGCTACATGATGTACCTTGTGAAACATGACCGCTGCATGTTACTAAACTGTACGAAACTTCCAAGGAAAACACCACTATCTGGCGTACGTTTGCTAAAACAATGAATCACAGTGGGCCGCTGCCGGTAAGTTAGCAGCCAGTGACGTATGTTCCTTTTGCTCTCTTTTCACATGGTAGCCGGCGGCCGGAGTCTTCATCACCAAACCAAGTCCTGGGACGGTTCTGATCGTTCTGATCCCAGGACAGCCTTCCTCGGCCGATGTCCCGAAAAGGGCTGCGACGGGCGCAGACCACCCACTCAGTTCCGGTCAGTCAGCCTCGTTCATAAACACATACTCTCCCCGTGTCTCTCCTGCTGCAGCTTCCTCCTCTGCGCACGAGTGTGGGCTGGCAGGAGCATTCACTGAAAACTTGGCAAATACAGTACAGACAGAATAATCGAACTTTGGGTCAAGTTACCACTTCTCCTACCTGAGCAGTTTTTCATTTGTACATTGAGGATATGAATACTTACAGAACATGTGAGCACTTGCTGAAATACGTGAAAGCATTTAAAAATAGCTCTGTTTTTAGCCCTGGCCAGCTTGATCCACCAAGGTTGTGAGTTCAATCCCTGGTCAGGGCACATACAAGGTTCAACCAGTGAGTACATGCATGAGTGGGACGATGAGGGGATTTTTTCTCTCTCTCTTGCTCTCTTTCTTTGTCTCGCTAAAATCAATTTTAAAAAATTAAAAACTTTTTAAAATTGTAAAATAGTCCATATTTGCTGTGGAAATTTTTTAATTACAAAAATATATAAAGAACAAAATAAAAGCAATGCTTTATTCTGCTACCCAGAGGTCACCAGTAGCATTTTTTTAAATGAAAAATTCCTGTATGTTCTGCACCCTGTTTTCCCCTCACGTCATCCTGTAGGAAGTCACTGTCCCGAGGAACTCAGTAACAGAGCTTCACTGTCCGCGTGAAACACGACACAGACGCGAGCTTGCTGCTCCTCCGGCCTCAGCCCCGAGACTGGGAAGGACCAGTGCGTTGCTCGGGGCACATGAAGAAGCTGTTTTCTCGGCAAGTTCTAGGACAGTGGGATCCCTCTGTGCCTGACCTAACTGTGGGGTTGGTTGCACTGAGAGGGACTTTCTGTTTTCAAGTTGCTGTCGGATTGAGAAACATCTCCAAATGTTATGTTAAATGTCCTAACTATTTCGCCACGCTGTGTGGGAAGTGTGGGTTCTATCACAGAAGTTGGAGCAGCTTTGCCAATGGTGAACAGACTTTTCCTTGGTGAACTCTTAGCAAGAGCAGAAAATGAAACAAAAAGTCGGTAAAAAGGCCATCTACTTGTGGACACATTATAGGGACTTGGGGTTGAATGAAGACATCTGGTTGGGGTACTCTAAAGTCAACAGGGCCAGAGAACCAGAGGTTTTATATAGTATACATAATGTACATGCTGAGAAATTCCTTTTCCTTTTACCATCATGAAAAAGCAGAAGTGATGGTCTGAGCAGGAGATGCTCCTTGGGTGGTGCCTTGGTGGTAGGAACCGAGATGGCTCTTGGCCCTGTGGGGCCCCTGCACACCCCTCCTGTCTGGGACCCCTCTTCACAGCAGTCCTAGAAGCTTTCCCGCATGGCCTAGACCGACAGGCAGCACCTGCTGGGGACGCCCCGGCGTGGCCTTGGCGTGGTTGGCACAGCTGTTAATTTCCACAACTTGCTGCAGCTGCCAGGAAGCTGCGGGCAGGTCAGGGAGGCAGCGTGCCCTACGGGTAAAGACAGTTCCCGACAGAACACGGAATTGCTAGAACATTCCAGAGGGATCTGGAATGACAGGGCTGTTAGACTGGGTTGTGGCACAGTTCACTTCTTCAGGCTGGAACTATATGCATGGCCCTGGGGAAACGGAGTGAAAGGGAGCCTTTGTCATTTATTCCAGGTCTGTGTCATTTGAGTGACCGCAGTATGACAGAAACTTTCCATTGTGGGGGTGGAGTTATGGCCCAGACAGAGGATGTCCTCCTTCTCCTAGTTTAAGGAGGTAATAAACAAAGTAATCGAAGTTCCTCTTTTTTTTGGTTGTTACAGTAAATCTAGAAGCTGTTAAGTGCAAAAATATAAACCTTGAATGTATATATTGCCTATTCTAGTAGAGGAGAAAGACAGTAAGCATGCTAGTAAAAAAATAAGAAAAATACTGGAATATGGTAAGGGCAATACAGAAAAATTAAAGCAGGACTATCCATTTGGAACATCACTGTGGGCTGTTTTATCCCGGTGGTCGGGGAAGGCCTTTCTGAGAAGGTGGCTGCTACACCGAGAGCCAAGGGACTAGAAAGATAAGGCGTGCGAAGACGGGGGTGGGGGGCAGTAAGACGGGTAGAAGCACCTTAGGGTCTTCTCATGATCCCAGGTTATCTAGAGCTGATTATATTTCTAATATTTCTTCTGGGCTTATGTGTGATTTACTTTGAAAATGAACTCAGAGTGCTTACGTTCATTCACAGTGTGAGAGATGCCCACTAACACTATTCTGAGGTAGGCTGTTTTTCACCTGTGAGATTGGCAAAGATTAAAAAGTTGGATAACAAGGTATTACCTATCCTTCGCTTGTTCTGTGGGGTGAGGAGGCGCCAGGCCAGGGGACCGTGCCCACCCAGACCCCTCCTGTTCTAGGTCATGTTCCCGGGGCTTGCCCGGAATCCTCTCCTGCGAGGGCCCTTCTCGCACTTTCACAGTGGACACGGGCTTCTCGCCAGGCTCCAGCCACTTCCCGGCCCAGGGCATGACTGTGTGTAAATGTGGGTTATCAGCAGACCTTGGGCGTAAGGCCAGGTTGTCCACACATGTGTGCGTGAGGCCCCGTGCAGTGTGGGCGGGAGCCGGAGGCTGGAAGAGAAAGGAGGCCCGGGCCCCGGGTGCTGCCAGTGTTGATCGAGCCGGGATCCACAGCCCCACGCTCAGAGCGGCCCAGCATGAGTCAGCGTTTCTGGTGTCCCTTCACCGCATTCATTTCCCTCGGACATTTTGAAGAAAGGTTGTCCCCCAACCCTCTGAAACACATACTGCAAATGCAGACGTCACAGTGGCAAGGCCAGGACTAGAAAGGAGAGAGGCCAGCTGGGACGAGAGTGGGCAGGAGGTGGGGGTCTGCAGAGCAGAGAACGCGGCTGTCGGTTTGCAGTCTCTAGTCCCTGCTGTGGAGACCCGCTCGTCTGCCCCTCTCCCGGCGGCTGCGACGGGGTCTGAGGGTCTTCTCCACGTTCCACGCTGGGGGGTGCCTGGGGATTTGTCAGGATGTTTGTCAGGACGGTGTAACTTCCACTGTCCTAGGGATCATAGACAACCGACCCGCTTCACCACTCTGAGTCACAGGTTTGCATCTTTTAGATCAGAAGATAAGACTATACGTTTTCTTTGAAAGATTCTACTGACTTATTTTTTAAGCTTTTAACAAAATGTCAGCATAAAGTCCAATTGTATCATGAACGCCATTTTTGCCCATTTTAATCTTGTAATATATAGTTAAATTCCAATGTACATTTGGTTCCCAGAATAAATTTGATAGTTTTGTTTGTTGACAAATTATGCTTTTTTGGTAGTTAATTTAAAATCAACACCACTTCCTAAATGGGAAAGACAATTTTCAAAACCATCAATATACTTAAATACAGTAAAATTATCTTCCATTACAACATACTCTTATAAAATTACTTTTCTCCTTTAAGATAACTTTGAAACAGTTCTAAGACACAAGGAATTTTTAGGAACAGGTCAGAGTAGGGGTTGAGAGACCAGAACTCGTGCCTTCCTTGTCTGTCTGAAGTCATATTTCATCTGTCAACTCCTGCCGGACACCAAGCTAGGAGAGAGAATCTCTCTCTTGGCCAACACTCTCATCATTGAACTGGGTCCTGAGTTTTGTGATGACTTACATGTTCGTTTCCCTGACTAGAGTGTGAGCTCTTTGAGAACAAGTCTTTCATTTAATTCCTCTAATTCCTGGCTTACAGTAGCTGCTCGGAAAATGTTAGGTTTAGCTTGAGGAATAAAACCCTGAATTACGGTCAACAATAATATCCAAAAACAATGATCAAAAAACAGTATCAGAATTCCTTGATTAGTAACACATCCCTAAACAAATCAGAAATCAGAAGCATTTTAAATTCTTAACACTCAATTTCATAGTCCTTCAAGATTTCAGTGATTGCTGCTTTGCTTCCCTTAGCCGCTTGTGTAGGTTTTATGTGGGTGTGGAAAGGTCAGCCCTTTTGAAGCTATTCATCCTGCTGTTCCTGCCCGCACTGAGTATTTTTTGTTTCCAGGATGTTGAGTCGGATGCCACAATGAGGTTTTGCTAAATTAAAGTTTAAACAGTTAATGGACCCTTTACTTGTGCTCAAGGGTATAGAGTAGTTAACTTTGTGTTCTCTTTAAAATTGATAACTATGTCTTTGAAAAATTTAGTTTTGGATCAGATGTGTTTCAAAGTGCTTCAGAAAATAATGTTAAGTGGGCATTTTTTGGTTTTGTGCTGAATTCTTCTGGCCGTGGCCGACGTATGGCAGATTTGAATTTCTTAGACATAACACTTCGAGCTCTTTCACCTCTACAAGGAGCATGAACAGAAAGCCTGCTTAGTTGTTGGCGTGGCGATCCTTTGTCTGTGTTGCTAAACAGTGTACGCCGGTGTTTTGTTGGACAAGGCTGAACAAAGCCTCATTCGCTGTGGGTGTTCAGTAAAGACAGACATGGGGTTAGAAACTGGCTTTCCCAAAGGAAATACGCACAGTCCCGTCTGGCCGAGTGAAATTTCTGATTTAGTGTCCTCTCTGTTCTTCTGCCCGTGTCACCCTCCCTTCTACCCCTTGACGCACGTCTGCTCCTTCGGAGACGGGCCCATCTCTGCTTTTGCACCGGACGTGCAGGGCCGTTTTAGCAGTCAGCATCCTTTGCTTGCTTATCCGAGTCCACACAATTCTTCTGCTTTTTCTTTTCATTTCACATAAAACTTCTTCCATGTTCTTCCCAGAGAAGCACTTATTCATGAGGAGATGCTCCGTTCCAGTGGGACTCCTGGGGCTGGCCCACGGGCTTTTTGGAAAACAGAACATGTTTCCTGAGAGAAATTCCATTTAGAAAGTTTTGTTCTCATCTTCTTGGCCAATCTAGACGTGGCCCTTTTAAACAGACCTTTAAGTAACAAGGGGAAGAGGAGCAGACCTTTCTGGGGCATTGTTTTGCATATTAATCACCTGTGAATGTTTTCTTGAGTATTGAGAAGTCACTTCGTTTATGAAGTGGGCAGACCTTGGGGTTTTTCTTTGTTGCGCATGGTCGCATGGTCGCGGCCGCACCGCTGGGAAGGCGTTGGAGGTGGACCGCAGAGTGACGCAGAACGCCTGCCCTGAGCACGGACAGACGGATGGGAACAGCAGGCAGGTGAATCCGGGGCCACCCTGTGGCATACTGTATCCTAGGACGGCATCCCGATGAAGCCAGTGACATAGGTCCCAGCAGAGTCGTACGGAGGCATGATGGCTGACCCGAACCTTCACAGATGAGAAGGACAAGTTGGACATAAGAGCATTCCAGACCAGGAGTAGCATGAGTGAGACCAGGGAACCTTAATAAACTGGGACATACCCTTGAGTCAGATGCATCTCAATATTACTGAGTTAATAAGAGTGACAGGGAGTGACCAGTGAAACCAGGGAAGAGGCAGGAGACAGGTCACGGGTGCCTTGGAGATCACGGTTGAGGATCGTGGGGCGATCTCAGTGCCCGGGTTCAGAGCAGGATCAATGCCGATAGTCACTACTGACGCTGAGAGCCGCCCCCCCGCCGCCCTGCTGCATGAGGACACAGCGGGGAGAAAGAGGGGCCTCCCTGGGGCCGAATCTTGGGCTTCCGAGCCTCCAGGACCGTGAGGGGTGCGCGTCTGCTGCGTGAGCGCCCAGTGTAGGACGTGGCATTGCCGCAGACGGAGGCAGCTCCTCACGCTCTCGGGGACAAGGCAGGCAGGCGGGCAGGCGAGACGGTCGGAATCCCCTCCAGTGTCCCTGGCTTCTGGCCCGGTGTCCATGACTGAACTCAGGCAGTTCTCTCTTTGGGCCTTCCCGCGCTGTTCGCTCGTCCTTTGTCCTCTGCACTATTTAAATAATCTCTTAACTGGTTCAGCTTTTGTCTATAAGCTCCCAAAAGACTTCTAAGACAGGAATTGGAGGCACAGCGAAGCAAAAATCTTCAGTGGCTCCCCCGTGCTGAAGAATAACGCCCAGACCTCCTCGCACAGAATTTAGAGCTCGCCTGCGATGTGGCCTCCGACGCCTGCCAGCAGCGCCTCCTGATGGCCCAGCCACAGGCCGTCTGTTTCAGCCGCATTCTTTGCAAGCGCCTGGGGCTCTGTGTCTCTTCACTCAGCTAGGGAAAGTTCTTGCCTTTCAACCAGGCACTAAAAATCCTGCTCGTTCTTCAAGACCCCTTTGAAGGAAATCATTCTGTTACCAGTCAAGATTGCTTAATCCTTAGAAGTACATTTCTGTTTTTCAAGTTAGTAGCCTGTTTTACTTTGAAGGGAACTATTCACTATATTTTTCAATCACAGTGGACATTCAGTATTATTTCGTATTTGTTTCAGCTGTACAGCACAGTGGTCAGACAGTCACACACATTATAAAGTGAACCCCCCGGCGTGTCCCGTACCTACCCGGCAGCATACATGATTATTGCAGTGTTGTTGGCTGTGCTCCCACTGCCGTGCTTCATGTTCCCGTGACCGTGTGGTAACCGCCGATCACTGCCTCTCAGCCCCTTCGCCCGTGGAGCCTGTTTGCTTGCACTCGTAGGGTTCTCCCCTCTTGCGCGGACAGTAAAACCCACCATACTGTTGCAGGAAAGGACAGCAGGTCACGGCTGGAGACCGGGTTCCCATCAGTTTTGCCAAGCAGAGAGAGAGGGAAGGCTCAGTGATACATCGTCCTGCTTAAACTGAGCATGTCTGGGAACTGGCCACAGGGTCACACGAGGACATACGGCCTCTCTCTTCCCCATTTCTCCTTACAGCTTGTTACAGCTTGTCATGTGTCACCCACATGGGCCTTCTCTTCTACCTCCTGGGGGTAAAGTTTGATGGCGTCTTTGACAGCTGTTCTTTCTAAGTCTCCTTTCACTCGATCATCCTGGGTTTTGTTCCAGCTCCGCCTTTATAGCTCCCAGGTACCGTCCTGTCCTCCCCATGTCCCTCCCGTCCGGACCTCACCCCGCGTGGTCGTCACACAGCCATCTGCTTTCTTGGCTCTCTTTGCTGGAGTGGCTTCTCGTTGAGAGGTCCACAGCAAACTTCTGAGAAATGTCCGACCAACCCGGCCAGCCTAATTTGCTGTCCCGCTGAGGTTCTCAACCCAGTATCCTTTCTTTTATTCGTGTTCTGTTATGCAGGTAAAGAAAACGGACTGAGCTCCTTTTCTTTAACCCGGTATTTTGCTCACTAGTTAATATTTGTTGAGTTTCTTCCCACTGAAGGGAAAGTTTTATTCTTTGGATAAGTTGTCAGATCTTTGTGTCCAAAGAACAACAACAACAACAAAAAGTGAAACACAGCCTGCCTACCAGATATGCTGAGAAGATCACATTTCCTTTTCGAGGTTGATTTGTTTCTTTAGATAATGTACTTTTCTCTGGTAAATACAATTAGTTAGCTGCAAGGGGGCAGATTTCACTGAACGGAATCACTTAGTCAGTTGAGAGTTACTCATCCAATTCCTCCAGTTACTAAAGCGCTTCCGTGGACTGTTCAGTGTGGAGGGACAACGCGCAGATCCCGGTCCCCAGGCCTCTGTCCAGGGTGATCGTTTTATTGTGTGTGAGGGCTTTTCATTTGCCAAAATAACTGTACATGTTCAAACTCAAAGCACTCATTGGTTTATTAATACATACGTTCAAAGTGACTGCTGTTGGGCACTTTCTGTCATGGAACTGTTTTGTCCCCTGGACGGTATGGGCTCACCCACACTTCATATTTTTCCCCCTTCTTTGTGCCCCTGTGAAGAGGAGACAGCTGTCAGCAACGAGAGGGGCCACCCTGCAGACTCGCCAGGCTGGTCAAAGCCTTGTGGACACCTCTGTCAGGTCACAGGAACGTTGCATGAAAAACTCTCTGAGAAGCACCTTTTTCCCCGAGTGTAAAAGTAATACATGCCGTCACAGGCAATCTGGCAAGTCCCTCCGTGATAATAGAGGGTCACGTCCAGTCCTCCCGCACGGCTTGCCTCTGTGCGCACGTCAGCATCTGGTGGTTTTCCCGACAGAGTTGAGAGCATGTTTAGAACTGCTTTTTAGCTGATTTTGGCTTTACTTTGTTCTCTGCAGACTCTGAGAAGATCGGACCAAATTTACCTAATCCTTCTCCCTCTTGACATAAAATAACCACACCGAAAGAGAAGTTAAATAGTTTATTGTTTGGCTGTTTCTCAGTGCTTTTGTTATGTTTCCTTTCTACTTGTGACATGTTCTTCAAATACCAGATAGTACCCAAAGTATTATCTAATCAAAATAAAGTCTTCAAAACGAAGGTTATTTCTGCTTTCACCATGACTCTAAGTCAAACCAATCAACCTCTTGCTGGAGGAGCTAAATAAAAGACAATTGAAAATCTCCTGGTACAATTATCTTTCGTAGCTGCACCAGCCTGAGTAATTCATTTGGAATTTTGAGTGTGTCTGAAAACATTTGCCACAAACACTGCTTTCCCTATGTGTAGGTAGTGTTTAAACACTGGTTAAAATTGCTGGTGGATCAGCCACTCGTGCAGGGAATGCTTGGTGTGTGCCACGTGCAAGCTTTTCACATGCTAGTTTCTACATAAATGTGAAAGGAAGACTGGAATCTTTGGTTTCTGACCTAAGGGTGTTTGCTCCTACCAGGGAGAGGAAGAGAGAGAATGATAAAATTAACATTTGCTGCCTGCCCCCAGTGTTGGACAGTGTTGGACAGTGTAGGGATACTAAGTCCCTACAACAATTCTACAAGGTAAATGCCCGTCCTGTGTTGACCTAATTCTGTTAATTCTGTCTCCTGCCAGATGCTTTGTATTGAATGCATATCGGTAAGAAATAGGCTTATTTTTCTTACCTAACAGTGTGCAAGAAGACAGTCCAGGGCTGGTTCTCTAAAACCAACAGGGCTCTGTGGAGGAAGCTGGGCGGATGTCTCGCTGGGCTTTCTGGCACCGTGGACAGATGGGGGGGAGTCACCAACGATGGAGGGAGAACGGATGCCTTGGAACCTCCCGTCCCCATTACCGCCCCTCACTCATCTCGGCCAGCATCCTGTCTTGTCTGTGTTTCTGTGACCGACGGTTATCTTACTGTCGGTCACTCAACCTCCGGACTTGCACGACGCCAGGCCGCTGCTCACGCTTCAGCCGGAATGATCTCTCTTGACCACAGAGAGGAGTGATTCACCGCACTTGCTAGAAGCACCTCAGGGGCTCTTTGCTGCCCTTAGGATCAGGTTCAAATGCCCTAAAATGACATTCCAGGCCCCCCAGGGTGGACGTCGCCCCACGCCCACTGTTCGTGCTGCGCTTCATGTTTTAGCCGGGCCGGCGCGTGTCAGGGCCTCATCATGTGCTCGCTCTCGCCTCTCGCAGCGGTCAGCCCCTTGTCGGCTTCTTCTGAATTTTACAGAGAAACTCTGATTACACGTTGTAATACAACTCCTCGCTTCTCCATGTGCGCCAACTAACTGCTTGGCTGAGTGTGTCTCTGCTGATGAAGTCCGGGTCGGCGGCCAGGGCACAGTCTCTGTCCTATTCCTTTGTCCTGAAATAGTCTTTTGTCTTTTAACTGAATTCGTCTCATCCCATTCCTTTTGTTTTTTGCTTTTTGTTTGTGTAACCTCTCCTTTTTCAGGTCACACTCCATATACTGGTTCCTCCCGGGAGCCTTCTCTGCCTCCCAGGCATGGCCTGTTCTTTTGGCTTCCGCCTGTAGCTTGCTGTCCACTAGGCGTGGACCTCAGAGGACCGGGGTCATTTCTGTCTCAATCATTTATTCATTGATTCAACAAATGCTGAATGGGCTGAATGTGCCAGTGCTATCGTGGGCACTGGGGACTTAGTGACGAGCAAAGCAGAGAAAACACTTCACCTTCATGGCGCTAGGGAAAAAGATGACACATGGGAAGAAATGAGCTGTCTGGACAGTGTGTTATATAGGGACCCTCTTTATTTATTTTTATTTTTTTAAACAAGATGAATTTTTCATAATCTTTATTTTGCTTTTTTAAAAATTTTAGTTATTTATTTTTTTAGAGAGCGAAGGGGGGGGTGAGAGAGAGAGAGAGAGAGAGAGAAACACATCAATGTGCAGTTGCTGGGGGCCATGGCCTGCAACCCAGGCATGTACCCTGACTGGGAATCGAACCTGCGATGCTTTGGTTCTCAGCCCGTGCTCAATCCACTAAGCTATGCCAGCCAGGGCAGGGACCCTCTTTAAGTCTCTCTTAAGACAAAGGCAGTAACTCACTTTATGCCAGGTCTTTCCGCCACAGGCTGCTCTGTCAGTCAGAACAGCATTTGGTGCTTGTAAGTTGTTTAGATTTTGTTCCCTAAATGCCTGCAGAATCCCTCCCCTCATCAAATGCTAATGTCGCGATGATGCTGCCTGTTCATGCACCGTGGCCCCGTGGAGTGCCATGGACTGTGGTGTACTTCTCACAACCCCGAACACCCGTTGTCAGCACTGTTACTGCTGTTAGGAACGCACGGGTTAGATTATGCTGCTGTCACGATTGCACCCAAAGGACAGTGGCCAAAAGCAACGAAACCATGCTAATGGGACCGTGGCAGGTCACCCGGGGACTCCGGGACTGAGGCTGAAACGAGCCGCCCTCTAGAACAGCTCTGGGCTCCAGGCGCAGAGGGAGGGCGGCCTGGGGAGAACTGCCTGGAGCTGCTTCTGCCCGGGGGTGACGTTTCCCTAACAAACCAGGTCACGTGGCCGCACCTTTTATTTCGTGGGGAAACAGGTAAGGAGGGGAAGTGCCATCTTGTCATGTGATTGGAAGGAAAGAAAACAAAACCAGAATATGTGTGAGGAGCCCTGCAGATGCCCCCTGTTACCGTCCCGACACTCCTGAGAGGTGGGGAGCCCTGCGGACGCCCCCTGTTACCGTCCCGACACTCCGAGAGGCGGGGAGACCGGGAGACCAGAGCATCGGCAGGCAAAGAAATCTGGTCACAGGCCTGCGGGGCCAAGCTAGGGTTTGAACCCAGGGCCCCGGCTTGCTCTCCCCTGCTTATTTTACGTCTTGCCTCTGGGAGGGCACGGTCGATCCTGCCTGCAGGGGTGGGCGTGTGCTCTGTCGCTGGCTGGGCTTTTGGGGGCGCGTGGGACAGCTGCTCCTTCGCCGGGTCCTTGGCCCCTTCAGTCAGAAAGGTCTTTGGTCACAGAGCACCTGTGAGGGCAGTGAAAATATCGCCAGGATCCAGCCACCCCAGCCAGAAAGCTGTATTGCCTGCACCGGGGGTGGGGGAACTGGGTGCACGTAATGTGACTTCCTGTCAGCAGAGTGCCGAGCCAGCCGCCCTGTCTGCCCCGAAGCGGCTGGGCCCTGGGTTTGCCGCCTGCAAGCCCAAGGGGTCTTCAGGTCCCTCCTCCGGGAGCCAGTCAGGCTGCAAGGCCCTTCACACACCTGGCGGGAGAAGACAGGTCTAACCGCAAGGGAAGGCGTGGGGAAGAAGGCCGCCGGAGAAAACGCTGGGTTTTCTGGCTCTGGGGGAGGCAGCCTCCCCTCTGGCAGGACTGGTGCTTCCGCTGCCAGTGGTCTTCTCTCCGGCAGACGCGCGGCCCTCTGGGGGTCTCCTTTGCAAGGAGGGCGCGCCGGAGCCGCCCTTCGCTGTGAGCTGGCGGGGCCGACAGTGGCATGCCAGGGTTTTCAGGGACGCGAGCGGTGTCTCGCCTGACCCTCCGCTTGGACACA